GAAAGAAAGAAAGAAAGAAAGAAAGAAAGAAAGAAAGAAAGAAAGAAAGAAAGAAAGAAAGAAAAAAAAGAAAGAAAGAGCATTTAAGAAAGAGCATTTGAGTATGTAAAATTCTCTTTCTTCCTTCTGCCAGAATGAATTTATATCAGCCTTCCGACAGGCAGATCGTAGAAGAAATGCACTCTCGGTGACAAATTCTGCAATGAAAGTCCTTTTCCAATCAGGCACAGATGTCATTCAGGATCTAACTATTTTATACGGAGGCATTGATTGTACAACTGTGAGTGCACGGAATTCCTGCCAGAAGCTCATTGGAAGGTATAAGTCAATGATACTATTTATTATTTACACAGAGGACTCAGAGAACATGGGTTAATGAAATTGTGATGAAGCCCCATCTAATATGAAAGAGAAATGTTCCTTCTCCAGTGGGGTGGCCTCTTGTTTTCTTCCTTCTGAACTCTCTGTGTTGCCCTAAGGTCCTCCTGAAGATTCTTCAACTTTTTTGGACAGATTTAAGAGGTTGCAGGAAAGGAGTAAATTTGAACATCCAATAATTTTAATAATAGCAGAACTAGTAGCTGTAATTTCACATGGTTGTATGTAATAATAATTCAACTAATATAATCTGCCTATCCCAAGTCCTTGGGTAAAAAATCCAAATCCAATCTAAATGTTTGGCTGATGTTTCCTGTACATTTCCCAGATCTGTTTCAGAACACTCACTGTCCACCTCTGTAGAACTGGTAGCTCTGAACATCAGCAGACATAGAACTGGGTCTATGTCTGCTGATGTTTTTGCCCACCCGCCCACTCGGGATCTTACCTGACCTTTATTTCCTGTTTTTTCAACTTCAGCTGCCGTGCGAGGCACAGCTGCAGTTAAAAAAGCAGGAGAAAAGGGCTTTTTCAAAGGCTGCTTCTCTGCACGCAACGTGCTGATGACGATTTACAGGCACGTGCCCACAGCGTGCAGGAAAGCACATCGTAAATCACCGAAACTCGTAAATCACTGAACCGGTAGTTAACCCTGTCAGATCCCACCCCTGCACTGGCACAATAGCTAGAGATTTCCATAGGAGGACAGTGTCATATTACTAACTTTATGTATGCTAATAATTATCCCAAAATAAAAGCACAGAATTAGCTCCGCATTCTCAAAAAGTTTATTGTGTAAATCTTGAATTTGTCATTGCTATATTCAATAGTATTGCTACAACTGTCAACAATGATGTAAGCAGTGAGGTTACAGTGCAGGATTGTACAGGTAGTCCTCAACTTACGACCTCAATTGAGCCCAAAATTTTAGTGGTTAAGCAAGATATTTGTTAAGTGGGTCTTGCCCCATTTTACGACCTGTCTTGCCTTAAGTGAATCACTGTAGTTGTTTAGTTAGTAATACAGTTGTTACGTGAATCTGGCTTTTTCCTTAATTTTGCTCGTCAGAAGGTCACAAAAAGTGATCACATGATCCTGGGATACTGCAACCATCATAAATTGCCAAACATCTGAATTTTTATCACATGACCGTGGGGATGCTGCACTGGTCATAAGTGTGAAAAACGGTCATAAGTCATTTTTTTCAGTGCAGTTGTTACTTTGAACTGTCATTAAATGAACTGCTGTAAGTCAAGGACTTCCTATATTTGGAGGGGCTTATTGCTGCTCGTTTAAATTTTCCCTTCTGCACTTTGCTCATCTAAGCATGCTTGATTTATGACTTTTCCCTCCCAGAAACTGGAATGAACAGATGCTGAATGAAGCTTGCCAGTTAATTCTTGAAGAAATCACACTCTCTCCCTCTGCACCTGGTGGAAAAGTAGAATACAGACGCACTATGCTCATCAGTTTCTTCTTCCGATTCTATCTGAAAGTGCTACATGATTTAAAAAATATGGTAAATAATAGACTTTCTGTACACCCAAATGTTTTTTCCAAAGCTATTTCGATGATAAAATTGCCTTGGTGGCCTGGGACTGGCTGCTCACATTTTCCTTTATAAGCAAGCTCCGTAAAAGGTGTGTGCTAGGTCTGCCATCTTTTCAACCAGACTTTCTTATTGTAATTTTAAAATCAGATGGGCCTGTCTACATTAACTATTAAAAGGTTTAGCTTCACAAAATAATCAATGTTTATCAAATATCAAAATGCATCAATAATTTGATAAAACAGCATTTTTTGTATCAGCAATTTGATGATATAGACATCCATAGTGGCTAAGAATAGAAATGAAACCAATAAAAATTTAACTTCATCAGTTAAATTTATACAGAAACATTTAGGACTATAATGGGGATACAGAAAATTGTAACTCTACTGCCATCTAGTCATTGTCTGAATTTGAACAGCTCAGATATGGGGGTAATCCTAGGAAGCTTTCACCAAGAACAGCTGTGTAAATTAGACTTATGTCTCCGCAGATGCTATGCTTTCTGATAGTAATTATTCACCATGCTTGCACATAGGCTGACATCAGGTTACTACATATTTATTATAGTTATGAAAATAAGCATAGACTTTCATAACCATATATATCTGTCCTTTGACTCCAGATTTCTACTCTAAAACATATCCATATATAAAAAAATAATCTATTAGGAAATATTTTGCTAACATGGTTAATTGAATAGAACTAGATTGGAATAAACTAAAATTTGATTTAACCTTTTAGTTGCATTAATCTAAACCTTTTAGTTGCATTAATTGTTTTGGCCAATATAATTTTCAGAGTCTTAAATGACACTACTGTAAATTAAAATCATAATATTCTGCTATAATACATCAGGAACAGTGGTGGGATTCAATTTTTTTTCACTATTGGTTCTGTGGGCGTGGCTTGGTGGGCGTGGCAGGGGAAGGATACTGTCAAATCTCCAGATAGAAGTAGCATTTGCCAGTTCTCCAAACTACTCAAAATTTCTGCTACCAGTTCTCCAGAACTGGTCAGAACCTGCTGAATACCACCTCTGATCAGGAAGCTCTTCTGATTTTGCACTTTTGTCTGATTCTAGGCAGATTGTGGTTAATCTGAACTTGGGAAACAAGCTAATTTCACATCGTACTTTATGATATGGTGTTGTATCAACTCCTTCCAGTTTAGATTTTAAACTTGATCAATGGTAAATTTGAATCTAAAATATAAATAGACAACTTCCAATGTTCTTTCCATTCTCTACCACAAATAAAACACTACTTAGTGAAGCTAGAAGAGATAAAATAAGTTGATTTTTATAATGCTAAATGATTGTTAATATTACAATGAATATAACAGTACTCTTTTGACTTTGGATTTCCCTCTAGCAAAATCAGTTTTGAAATATTGGTATAATATATTAAATGAATTCCTAACTTCCTACAGTTTCCAGACAACTATCCTAATTTACCGAAGGAATGCATGAGTGCTTTAGGTGAATTCTGTGATACACCACCAAAGGGCATGCAAGTATACCAGGTCAGTGAAGTCAGTTTTAAAGAGTTATGTGTAGATAAAAAATATGTTTTTCTAAATAGCCAAGAATATCTCAATCAGTTAACAGAAATGATCCTACAAAAATGGGAAGGGGAATTTGTGGCTTGGCTAATTACTCACCTAGTTCTGGAAGGTGAGGGTATTTTGCTCTTGCTCTAGAAATCTGGGCTTTCTGCTATTACTGGGAATATTTTCCAAGTTACGTACATAATAGTCAGACAATATATGATGTAGGTGCCCAATGAGGTCTTTGCAAGTGACAGTGATCCTTCCAACACACACATTGATGCCTATCAAATTATCTGCTTTACTTAGTTTTATTTTTAAAAAATGTTTCTGTTTTCAAAACATGAGTGGGATAGGGAAATATTGCAAAACAAAGTGCAGTCCCAGTTGTAATCTACACTTGCAACAATGTCTCTCAGGCCCACATAGATGCCAGAGGCATTCTTAGAAAAGAAAATGGGGTGAACCTACAGCCCGGTGGTTGTAGGTTCTGTATATGTGGGTATTGTGACTGTTTGAACCATTTTGTAACTATGCATTTACGTTCTCACTAGTTCACATGTGGTTATTGGTTCACCAAAATAAGGAACTCTAAAATAAGTAGAAATGTAACCTTTTTCTCAGGAACAAAATAGAAAGGGGTTTATAAATGCCATTTTTCAATAGTTTCAGTGACTTCCTATTATGTGACAGGATATAGATCCTCAACAGCCTCCTCAGGACCCTGTGGGACGTCCCATCAAGCATGAGTCTGGTATTAAGCATGCCACTGGTGAAGCTGTCTATGTTGACGACATGGAACCAGCAGAAGGGCAACTGTACATGGCAGTGGTGACCAGCACACGGGCCCATGCCAAAATTCTGTAAGTAACATGAAAGAAGAGGCATGAGAAATGTGTATTTGGGGCCATATTTCCACAGGTTCAGAACACACTTTAAATCTGTTTAAAAGTTTTAAGTTTATCTGTGGTCAGGGTCAAAAGTGAAGGTTATGAATAAAAAGTAAATGAAAAGAGAGATGTTCAGGATCCAATTCTTTAAAATAAGAGTAGAAAACAATTTGCAGGCACTAGATTTTCTTGTTCACCATATTCATCTCACAAGAAATCCATTCTTAATTTTTACAGGTTTCCTTGTCTTTTCCCTACTTCCAATGTTTGTTTATTTTATTTCATAATTAGTTTTACAAAATGATACACAAAAAGAAAAAAGGGAAATAAAAAATACAAGAAACTGTAAATGAAACAGAAAAAAAGAAATGTTACAAAATTTCTAAACATTGCATATTTGAAGTTTTCAGCAGTACATAAGTGTCTCATTTCAAAAGAATAAATAGTATAAAATAAAATCTCTGATATAATCTATGCCACATACACTCATCATTTTTTTTATTAGTATATCAAAATGTGAGACTGAATTTGGAAAATGAGTTTGGAGTTTTTGTGTTCTATTACCACCTCAGGCACAAAGACTTTGGGCTAGTTGCTGTCTCTTAGCTCATTTTGAAAGGCATTTTAATGATTTCTTCCCTTTGAACAACAGGCTCAGTCTCAATTAGGGCACTGTTTGTTTATTGTTAACTGGGTAAAATCAGAAACTGGAGCCCGAAGACAATTTGTAGACTACCTGGTATAGTCTTAAATTGCTTGGAATGATAGATAAAGAAAAGTATGTACCTAATTTTTATCATTGATCTTTACTTTAGGTCACAAAACAAGTACTCTATGTACTGTACATTAGAGACATCATCTAACCAATTCCTTGGACTGAGCTGAATGGGACATATTTCTTCTTTTTTTTTCCAGGGCCATTGATTTATCAGAAGCCTTGAAAGAACCAGGTGTGGTTGATGTAGTAACAGCTCGAGACATTCCAGGGAAAAATGGTGATGGCAAAGAGGATGTGTTTGCAAACGATGAAGTAATTCTTGTTTTGATATTTTATTTCCATGTAACAGTCTAGCTGGCAACTCTAAAACAGGCATAGGAAGGCTGCTCCTAATAAATCTTCTCGGTTCTTTTGATGCTTGGCTCAAGGCTCATGATTTAATTAGGGCAATCGCTGGAATCCTGAAACAAGCTTTATGCACAACTTATGCCAATATTAGTTAGTATAGGAGTTTCTTCCTGTTCTAGGGTTTCTTTACCCAAGATACAGATTTATAATTACAGGTAGTCCTCAGTTTACAACAGCAATTGAGCTCAAAATTTCCATTATGAAGCAAGGCAGTTCTTAAGTGAGTATTGTCTCATTTTATGACCTCTTTGCCACAGTTCTTAAGCGAATCACTGCAGTTGCTAAGTGAATAATGCAGCAAATCTGGTTTCCTTGATTGACTTTGCTTGTCAGGAGCCAGCTGTCAGGAGCCAGCTAAGAAGATTAGAAATGGTAATCACATGATTCCAGGATAGTGCAATTCTCATAGATACATGCCAGTTGCCAAGGATCTGAATTTTGATCATCACATGACCTTGGGAATGCTGCAACAGTTGCACGTGTGCAAACTGGTCATATGTCACTTTTTAAAGTTGCATTGTTACTTTGAATGATCACTAAATAAATGGTTGTAAGTAGAGGACTACCTGTATCCTGCTTGCTCAACCTTTTAGAATAATGGAAATTATTGATTTTGGTGAAATAAGCTAACATGGAAAATTTTTGTGACTATCAAAATATCATTTATATGTGCTTCATCGACTACAAGAAAGTCTTCTATTGTGTTGATCATGGGAAGCTATGGAAAGCCCTACAAGACCTGGGGATACCAGCACATCTGATCAACTTGGCAAAATCACAAATCAGGAAGTCACTCCGCAAATATCCTATGGAGACTCCGATTGGTTTAAGATAGAGAAAGGAATGACAAGGTTGCATTCTTTCCCCTTTCTTATTGAATCTGTATGTTGAAATGATCACGAGGAAGCTAGATTTCTAAGAATCAATAATCTGGGTAAAGATTGGAGGTGTCAGGGTTCCAACCAATACGAAGAAGAAACATCAACAATTTTCGATATCCTGACAATACAAGTCTCCTATAAAAAAAACAAAGAAGGCCTGGAACATCTGATCAAGGAGATCAAAGAAGAAAGTGAGAATTTTGGTCTCTTCCTGAACATTAAAAAGACCACTGCAAAGACTGGAAATGTCAAAATGGAAATTGATTGTAAAGAGATAGAATGTTTGGAAAAATTCTGTTTCCTGGGGTTGCAATTCGCTCAAAGTGGTGAACGCAGCGCAGAAATAAAATGTTTGATTGCAATGGGTCACATAGCAATGATGAACATGAGCCGAATATGGAAAAGCCTGGCAATCAGCCTGGCAACCAAATGTAGGTTAGTCCACTCTATTGTGTTTCCCGTAGCTACCTGTAAGCAAGACAGAAAGAAAATTAGTTTGTTTGAGTTGTGGTGCTGGAGAAGGCTTCTGCGTATTCCTTAGACAGCAAAGGTGACCCACAAGCAAGTACTGAAGCACAATAACACCATGTCACTAGAAAGAAAAATCACAAAACTGTGTCTCACTTATTTTTACTGTGTCGTGTGGGAGAATTCACTGGAGAAAGCAATTGTGTTGTGAAGAGTTAGTGGTAAAAGGAAGCTAGACTGCCAAATTTATTTTATTTATTTATTTATTTGATTTGTCAATCACTTACAAGATAACAGGTATAAGTATAAACATAGTTTTGAATACATGAGATGGATACGTATAAGAAAAATAAAAAAAGACAATAGGACAGGAATGGTAGGCACGATTAGCGCGCTTATGCACGCCCCCTACGAGATAACATCAGATAGAGCATACAAAAACTCAAAGAAACAGTGCAAGAAGTTGTGGACAGACCTGGCGCATAGAATTGCCAAGACTCAGACATGACTGAATGGATAACATCATCATCACCACCAAACTAACAAATCAAGCAAGGAGAAATAACTATTGATTTGAGCACTCCCTCTCCCATAGGAGCAGTCAAAGATTTCCACACAACTCTTCAGGAGAATATTAGGGGTGCCCATGATCTATGGGAAGGGGAGAGAAAAATATGTTCTACCCACCTGGGAATTTTGGTTTTAAAAAGATAAATAATCTTACAAAACATTTATAAACTGTATTGTATTCAAAAGTCATGCAGTCTCTATGGTTTGGGTTTCATGCAGGTAATATTCATTGGGCATATTATATGTGGTGTCGTCGCAACATCCTTTGAGTGTGCAAAAGAAGCTGCAAAAAAAGTAAAGATTGACTATCAAGATCTGGAAGTGATTCTGACAATTGAGGTAAACATTTGGGAAACTTTTTGTATTTTAGTGATTATTTGCCTTAACTGTTTAACTAAGATCACAGCCCCTATAGCCTATCAGCAAACCTGCAATGATGCTGTTTTTTGACCACTGCTTTTCAATGCCAAGCTGTCTGCAATGTGGTCTCCCTCAGTTGCTTTCAAAGATATATCCAAACTGGGTTTCAGGTGCCGCATCAGTCAAGACTCTGGGCATGGGTGGAGGCAGGGGTGGGATTCTACCAGTTCTCACCTATTCGCTAGAACCGGTTGTTAACATTCTAAGCAGTTCGGAGAACTGGTTGTTAGAAGAAAGTACTGGCCTAATCCTGTAAGGAAGGCAGGAAGGAAACATTCTGGTGTTGCTTACAGAAACTGCCTCTCTGTTAACCCTTATTATGTTCCTGGCAGGACTAGACTTCCTGTCTCTGGAACTTCTCTGGAGTTTTTTTCCTCTTTTGCTGGTACTTTGCTTGTGTGGAGGGACCATTCAAAGTTACAATGGCACTGAAAAAAGTGACTTATGACCATTTTTCACACTTACGACTGTTGCAGTCATGAGGCCAGGTGAGGAGATGCGTGCCTCGATGTGAGTGATATTGAGTTGACCATGCCCAGCCAATAACATGACCACCAAGCCATGCCCACCAACCAAACCACGCCCACATAACCAGTTGTTAAAAATTTTGAATCCCACCCCTGGGTGGAGGTGTTCTGATTGTCATCCAGGATTCTCTTATAGCTTTAAGGAGCGATGCACCACAGGTCACTGAATGTGAAACTGTGTTCATTAAGTTGGGCTCTAGGAATCAGTTGAGCTTGTTGCTGTTGTATCAGTCTTACTACTGCACAGCAACCTCCCTGCCTAGACTCTTTGTTCCATTCTGGGTTTGGCAATGGAGTCAGTTGCCCAGTCTTATGATTCTGGGGGACTTCAATCTATCTTCTCTAGGAGTGGAGTCTGAGGTGGACTGGGAGTTCAGAACCACCATGATGGCCATGAGCCTTCTCAGATAATCCAGAGCCTGACATAGAGTAGTGGTCACACTTCACATCTGGTGAACATGTTGGAGCAATGGCTGTATGATCTAAAATCGGGGGAACTCTTGCTATTGCTTTTGTCATGGTCTGATCACACTCTGATTTCCATGAGATGTTTTAATGCTATTATCCACTGCAGTGAAGTTGGACCATTAGATTGGTCTGCCCCCCCCCCCCATCCCTGGTGACTGATGGACCTGCAGACACTGGGATAAGGAACATCTTATCCCAGTGTCTGCAGGCTGTGAGGATCTGAATGGGAAACAACAAGCTTCGGCAGAACCCTGGCAAGATAGAGCGGTTTTGGGTTTGGGGGCCTGCCAGTTTTAGGACTATGCCGTCTTGTGTTGGATCAGGTTGCACTCCCACAGATAGACCCACTGCACAATCAGGGAACCTCTCCGGCTCATGACTCTTGCTCAAAGAGCAGGAGGCAATTGTGGCTATGAAGGCCTTTGCACAGCTTCAATGTTGTGTTCCAGTTGCACTTGTTCCTAGACTGGGAGGCCCTACTTACAGTTAGTTACGTCCTAGTCACCTCCAGATTGAACTACAGTTTGACCTCAACTTACAACTGTTTATTTAACAATGGTTCAAAGTTACAACAGCCTTTGGAGAAAAGGCTTTATGAACTGTACTAAGACCATTGTAACATCTCCGGGTTCACATGATTGCAATTTGGGTGCTTGGCAATCTGCTCACATTTATGACCAGTTGCAGTGCCCCAAAATCATGTGATTGTGATTTGGAACCTTTTTTGCTGGTTTCTAATTGGTTTCCCATTTACTGGTTTCTGGCAAAAAAGGGGGGGGGGACATCAATGAGGGAAGCTGGATTCATGTAAAGACCATGTGATTCACCTAACAACCATGTGATTCACTTAACACTTATCTCATCTGCTAGAGACTTACATTTGGCAAGTCTTAGGAGGCGGGCCTTCGCTGCCATTGCTAAGTGAATTTGAACATTAATCCTGGCTTGTATATTAGTCCTTAAGCTACTGCTAATCAACTGCACAAGAATAGAGTATTATGAGAGGAGAAAACAACATTTATTTAATTCTGACATCCCTTCCTCCATTAGTTTGCTTTTTAAAACCAAAAACTTCAAAGTGCTTTCCCTTTTCGAACAGGAAGCTATTCCCGTTCTTTAATTATTTGGAGTGCTCTTTTCTTTTTGCAAGTCTCTCTACACATTTTTGAGAAATGTCTGTTGCAACAAAGAATCAAATCAAAAAGAACAGAGAAAGAAGAAGAGAAGAACTCTATGACACCTTTATTATTTATCTATTGTTTGGCCAGTAAAGCCGAGATGAACCTAAAATAGATTGTGTTTAACTGATACATCAGGGGCTTATTTTTCATGTGCTAACAAGAGCAGATACAGGAATCCTCTGTAGGTTTCCCATCTGCACCATGGGTTTTAGGGAAGCTTCATCCCTTCTCTCACATCCCAATTTTATCTCCCCAATTTTAAGGTTTTTCCAAATGAAAAAATCTCTGATCTGTATTCAGCAGTTGCTCAAAGACATGACTCCTAATTCAACCCCAAAACAGTCAAATCATATATATTCAGCCTGCCTCATTTTGACATATGCAATTCTGGTTTCTTCTATTGTGTTTGTATAATTTAAAAATAGAAAAAAGTATATTTATAAGCACACTTTTTAGCACAATACAAGTATTGTAGGTCAAAAAATCCTGTATGCATGTTTGGATATTTGTTTGTAAGAGATGTGTTTTAAATGTATTTTGTAATTGAGTAAGACCTCATCTTAAAAATTACACAAGTATAAATTGGAAGATAATTTTAATGTCAAGGTTCCGATTGACAAACCCAAGTGAGTCAGCACTCCGAGACAATCAGAGTTTGGCATTCAGAACCTTGACATTTAATTTCAAATACCATTAATCCAGGCAGTGTGGATCAGACATTCACCAAGCATCCCTAAGAAGGGGCAGGCATTGCTTTCTTGCTGATGTCAAGAAAGATAGAGATACTTTGGCTCACATAAAGATCGTACAACTCAACAAAGCCAGTATGCTATACCATACGCTTATCTGAAATATGTTTCCCATTTATACACATGAAACTGAATGAGCATCTTTACAGAATAAGAATTAGGAGCTGAGTGCTACTCACAGCACACAGGTAATGTCTCCCTACCTTTGGCCAATATGAAATAATACAGTTTGGGAAATGTTTCTTTATTTTTCATGACAGGTATTTCATTTTATTTTAATGATCAGCTATTTCATGAACTGAGAAGAAGCCAATTGTGTACATAGTTGCAATGAGACAATTTCTTAACCAGAGTAACATCAATGCAATTGTACCAAGACAAAATGTGATACGTTAATTCTGTATTATCTTCTGAGTTCTAGAACTTGGTCTCAAAATTTCCTTCTCTGTTTCAGGAAGCAATTAATCATGACTCCTTCTTAGCAAAAGATAAAAAAATTGAAAGAGGAGATGTGGAAAAAGCATTTAAGACTGTGGACAAAATTATTGAAGGTAAGAAGTATCAGTCCTGAATAACCATGAAGTCCCAGTGATAAGCAGTATATTTCTATTCATTCATGTTTTATGAAATAATCATATTTTACTTAAATTGTTTTGTGACAGTTCATATTATCATCTCAAATCTATCCTACAATCATTTTGTAGATGTAATAAGAAAAGAATACATCTTTATATATTTATTATTTTCTAAGAATCTACATATTTCATTACCATGTTTCATTTTCTAACCATTGATAGAATAGATCCCAGATTTTATAAAATTGTTTATCATCTTGTTCTCTGATTTCAAATGTCAGTCTACTCATTTCAGCACATTCCAATATTTTCTTAATGATTTCCTCCTGTGATGGTATTTTCTCATTTTTCCAATTTTTAGCAAATACAATCCTAGCCGCTATTAATACATTTATAATCAGGTATTTCAATTCTTTACTATATATTTCAGGTAAAATTCCCAATAAAAATATCTCTGTTTTCAAATCTATATGCTTTTTTGTCATTTTTTCCAACCATGTGTGGATTTTAGTCCAATATTTTTTAGCATCCGCACAAGTCTACCACATATGGTAATATGAGCCAGGTGTCTGATGACATTTCCAACATTTTTCCGATTTGTTCTTGAACATTCTTGCTATTCTTGTCGGGGGGAAATGCCACCTGTAAAACATCTTATACAAATTTTCTTTATATGCTGTTGACATTGTCATTTTATAATTTTGAAACCACATTTTTTGCCATTTCTCTAGATCAGGGGTTACCAACCTGGGATGCTCGCACCCCCTGGGGGTGCGAGACGATATTTCAGGGGGTGAGAGAAAAGTCCAGGTAAATAATAGGATATTGGCTATAAGTTGGCATTTTTATTTATTATTTATTTCAGGGGGTGCGAGGTTCTAGTGAAATTTCTTTAGGGGTGCGGGGCGAAAAAAAGGTTGGGAACCACTGCTCTAGATCAATCCCATATCCAAAATTCTTCCCCCAAGCAATCATTGTTTCTTTAACTTGTTCTTCTTCTAGTTTAATTTCTAATAAATATCCATACAATTTTTTAATCACCTTTTCATCAGTACCTGTCAAAATCTTATCTAAATCAGTCAGTTTATCATAGAAACCTCCTGTTTTAGAGTCTTTATCATACCTTGAATGTATTCGGGTATATGAAAACCAATTCATCATTATACCTTGTTCCTCTAATTTTTGTATAGATTTAAGTTCACTCTTTTCATTCAATATTTTACCATATCTAACTGTTTGTTCCTTTTTATATATTATAGGATAAGAAAATGCTTCAATAGTCGATAGCCAGACTGGAATTTTCAAATAACATTGTCTTTTAGTCTTCTCCCAGTTTAACCACAGAGACTCCCATATATAATGTCTTCTAAAGCAGGGGTCCCCAACCGCCGGTCCGCGGATCGATACCGGTCCGCGGAACAACTCTTACCGGGCTGCTGGTTGCTGGGCGCCGCCATCTTTTTTTGGTAAAAAAGTGCTTCCGGTGAGCTTTTCCGGGTAGAAAGCTCACCGGAAGCACTTTTTCATCAAAAAAAGATGGCGGCGCCAGCGCTTCCGGTGAGCTTTTCCGGGTAGAAAGCCAGTTGATGCCGGTACCCGGCCGCGGCGCCCAGCTGATGCCGGTACCGGGCCGCGGCGTCAAAAAGGTTGGGGATCCCTGTTCTAAAGTACCCCTGTGTTTTAGTTCCTTTATACCATAGAAAAGCATGCCACCCCAACAACAGATCATGTCCTTCTAATGTCAACAATCTAGTATTTCTTAACGTTATCCATTCCTTAACCCACATCAAATTTGTAGCTTGGTAGTACAACTCCCAATTAGGTAAACCAAATCCTCCTCTTATTCTAGCATCTTGCAAAAGCTTTAGCTTTATTCTCGCTTTCTTTCCTTGCCATATATATTTCAACACGATTTTATTTAAATCTTCAAAGTAATCTTTTCCAAGCCTAATTGGAATTGTTTGGAACAAATATAAAATTCTGGGTAGTATATTCATCTTGATTGTTGATATTCTCCCTATTAATGACAGTTGTAAATTTTCCCATTTCACCAGATCTAACACTATCTGCTGCTTAAGTTTGATATAATTATTCTCTTTTAGTGTACTGCATCTTGCTGTCAAATGTATCCCCAAGTACTTAATCTTATTCGTGACCTGAATTTTTAAGAGATCTGCCAGTTCTTCCTTTTGTCTTGATAGCATATTCTTTGTCAAGATCTTTGTCTTATCTTTGTTTATTTTCAAACCAGCCACTTTTCCATATGCCTCTATCTTTTCTATCAGTTTTGATGCTGTTTCTAGTGGGTCTTCTAAAATGAAAACCAGATCATCTGCGAATGTTTGCAACTTAAATTCTTCCTGTTTAATTTTCATCCCTATATCTTTTTCTTCTCTAATGTTTAGCACTTCCAAGGTTAACACAAACAACAGAGGTGATAGTGGGCACCCTTGTCTTGTTCCTTTTCTTATATCAATAGAGTCTGTCAGTTCTCCCTCTATCATTACCTTTTTACCTGGTGCCTTTCCATTATTTTGCTTATGATGTATAACTTCTATTGCTTGAATAAATTTTTTAGAAAAGCCCATCTGTTCCAGTTGTAATAACATGAATCACCAATTCACATTATCAAATGCCTATGCATCTAGAAATATCAAAGCCATTTATTTTTCGGGATGTGCCTCGCAGTATTCCAAAGTGTCCAAGATTACTCTCATATTATCTTTAATTTGTCTCTTTGGCAGAAATCCATTTTGATCAGGATGGATAAAATTGTTTAAGTACTTTTTAAGTCTTTCTGCCAATATTGAAGCAAAAATTTTATAATCTGCGTTTAGTAGGGGAATAGGTCTATAGTTCTTGATTTGTAATGGATCGGCCTCCTCTTTTGCGACAAGTGTAATATAAGCTTCTGACCATGATTTAGGTATCTTCTTCTTTAACATAACTTCATTCATAACTTCTAGCAATGGAAGGTTCAATGATTCTTGTAGTGTTTTATAAAATTCTGCCGGAAGTCCATCTGGGCCTGGTGCCTTTCCATTATTTTGCTTCTTGAGTGCTTCAGTTAACTCCATCATTGTTATATTGCTTTCTAACATTGTTTCAATCTCTTTAGGTATCTGGGGAAAATTAGCATTCTGCAAATACTGTTTAACTCTTTCCTCATCAATATTCTCTTGTGCGTATAGTTTCCCATAATAGTCTCGTATGATTTCCTTCTTCTCTTTACTACCATAGCAAACTTGGCCTTGGTCATCTATTAATTGCAATATTTTCCTTGATTCTTTCTCCTTTCTCAATTTATATGCTAACCATCTACCTGGTTTATTTGCATCTTCAAAGTAATTCTGTTTAGCACCTCTAATTTTCTGTGCTAATTCTTCTTTTTCTATTAGACCCATTTTATGTTTGGTTATATCCATTTTTAACTTAATGTCCTTTTTCTGTGGCATTTTCTGTAGCTCTTTTTCAAGTCCTTTATACTCATCCTCTAATGCCTTAGAGGCTAATCTTTTCATGGTATTTCTTTTCCTTGTATAGTCTATTATCGAGCCTCTGGCATATGCCTTCATTGTATCCCATACATTCTGAATTGATGTATCTTCTTTTTTGTTTTCTCTAAAGAAAAAAGCCAGTTCTTTCTCCATCCAGTGTGTGAAGTCTTTTTCCTTTAAAATAGTATTATTTAGCGTCCATCTAGATCTTCTTCTTTGTCCTTTCCATTTAATTGTCATTGGATTGTGATCTGCCCAAGTACTTGTTTCAATATTTATTTCTTGAATATTAGTTAACAATTCTGTTGACATCCATATCATATCTATTCTGGACCATGATAAGTGTCTATTTGAGTAGAAGGTGTATTGTTTAGTTTTAGCATTTCTTTCTCTCCATGTATCTTTTAAGTTTATTTCATCTACCATATTAAAAAAGTATTTAGGGAGAGTCTTTCTGTTTTGCTTTATTGTTTTCTGTGCTGAATAGTCCAGTTTGTTGTCTACAATTCCATTAAAATCTCCCATCATAACTATATTAGAATAGTCCAGTTCAATTATTTTGATATGTAATTTTTTATAAAATTCTTCTTGTTTGTCATTCGGGGCATAGATTGCAATCAGGAGTGTTTTCATATTATTATTCATTATTTCCATCATTAGTATTCTTCTGTCGTCATCAGTATAAATCAATTTCGCTGGAATGGTCTCTTTAATATAATATATAAAACCACTCCTCTTTTCTTGTATTGTGTCAAGGAGGTAAATATTTTCCCTAGTTTTGGCTGTATCAACAATTGTTCATATTGCTTTTTAATATGTACTTCTTGTAGGCAGATTATATCAAATTTTAATTTCTCTAATTTATGGAAAGTTTTCCTTCTTTTAACGGCTGAATTAAGTCCATTTATATTAATTGTAATCAATTTTTTTCTCTTCCATGGTTATATTTTATAATTAGGTTTGGCAGCTCTCGTGGATCTTGGTTCACGTTGTCCTTTGGCTTCCTCCTTTCCACCTACTGCACCTTCCTCTTTTTCAGTCGTCATTTGGCAGTCCTCTTGGAATTCAATTAGTAAAATTTCTTTTTCTGCCTCTTCCTCTTTCCCTCTGAAAAATTCTGTATAAAATGATTCAGCTTTCTCAATTGAATCAATTCTGTATCTCTGTTCTTGCCATGTGAACATTAAACCTTTTGGAATCAGCCATCTATAATTCACCTCTTTTTTAAGTAGCAATTTGGTCAAGAATCGGTATTCTCTTCTCATCTCTCTCACTCTTCTGGGTACTTGTTTCAAAACCACAATCTCCTTGTCTTTATATTTCAATGTTTTCTCTCTTGCCACTTGCAATATTTGCGTTTTAATGGCTTTCTTTCTAAATCTGATGTGAACTTCTCTTGGTAAGCTATTTCTCATTGCATATCTTGTGAAAACTCGATAAACTTCATCTATTCCATCCATCATCTTCTCTTTAGTTATTTCCAAAGCTTCAGCCAATATTTCTATCATTATCTCAGCTAGATTTTGTCCTTTTTCTTCCTCTATGTTTTGGAATCTGAGATAAAATTCTGATCTGTCCATCTCCCATCTCAGCATCCCACTTTTATCTTGTTCAACCACAGTTAATCTGCTGTCAATGTCTCCAATCTCTTTGTTTATCTTCTTCAATTTTTTGGAATTTCTCATCATACTTCATCATCATTTGTTGAATGTTCTCCACCTTTTCATCAGTTTCCCCTGTTCTTTGTTCAATGTTCTCTGTTCTTTTTTCAATATTCTCTGTTCTTATTTGAATATTTTGAATTCCTTGCATAATCGTCTGCAGGGTCACTTTTTCCTGTTCTTTTTCTTGCTGTAGCATTGTCTGTATTGAACATTGTCCTCCAGATGGTGAAGAGGAAGAAGTAGAAGTTGAGGAACCAGGGGCTGCTAGTTTCCTACTCATTTCAAACAATTCAAAATCTTCAGGTTCTTCTAGACCTTAATCCACTTGTAAAATAACCAATTGTAATTCCAAATAAAAATAGTAGGAAAAAAGAAACCAAATAGTAGTAGTAGTAATAATAATAATAATAATAATAATAATAATAATAATAATAATAATAATTTCTTCAGGTTCTTGTATACCTTAATCCAATCGATTGGCTAGATAGCAGTAAAAACTCAAACATGGAAGAAAAAAGCATAAACACACACAAAAAAGAAAAAATTGTTAAATCCTGAAAAAGGCAGAAAAATAAAAGGTAAGAAACTAAAAAAGAGGGGGGAAAAGTTCTTCAGGTTCTTCAACACCTTAATCCAATTAAGAGGTCTCAGGTATAAAAGGATGCATAAGAAAAAAAAGAAAGCCACAAAAATAAAAATAAAAAAACAATATGTAAGGTAAATAGAGAGAAAAAATACAAGGGAGGGAGAGAGAAAAAAGAAAAGAGACTACTCCCTTTAAAAAAAGGAAAGAAATCATTAATACTGAAGCTTTTCCTTTAAAATAAAATGCAAACATAAAAATTTGACTTCAAAAGACAAAAAGAAAGACAAAAATCAAGTTCCAAAAGGGCAAAAATCCAAATAGCTATTACGAAAAGTAAACTAGTAAGGAGGGGGTTTGTTAAAGTAGGAAATAGCGCAGCTTAAAAAAAATAAAAAGAGCACACTGCACCTTGTTTGATTGTCCAAGGCTTTTGTTAAAATTTATAACTCTCTTCTCCAGAGTCTTATCACCTTTTTTTTCTATAAGCTACAACACCAGACTCCAGCTGTTAATAGAAACCCAGAAGAGCACCTGCAATAATACTCTCCCATGCTCTTCTCTCTATCTTATCAAACAGGCAATGTCCTTGAAAAGAAGTCTCAGTTCTTTCTCAGCTTTGTCTGGTCAAGAAAAAATAAAATAAAATATTTCCAAGCCTCTAGTTGGCAGTGTTACAAAATTTCTTTTGCTTTCACTTTCCCCCTCCTTTTCCAAACAAAATATAATGAAAATTAATTAAAAAGGGGAAAAGATATTTAAAAAGATGACTAAAAGGGAGTCTCTAGCCTAAAATATTATAACGTCAAAAAGGAGAGAAAGTATAGGTGGAAGAAGAAAAAACCAGTCCAGTTTCAAAATATAAAATCATGTATAGAAAATCCAGCAATGAGAAAAAAAAATTACTTTGACATTCCTGTTTAAAATCGCTGCTTAATCACTTCTGTCAAAACATTTACAGATTCGTTCTTTTCCTTAGGGTGCCCTTTCAAATCTTATAATAAAGAAAAAGTTCTCACCAAACCGGCACACTTTCTCTTTCTGTTCTCTTTCGTTTCGGAGCCGTCCCAACTTCAGCAGCTTTTGCCGCTGGCAAAAAGAGCTTCTCCTGGATCTACCAGGGACTGAGATCGACAGGATGCGCTCTTTACATTCACCATCTCTTCGGGACAGTTTAGATCCGATTGGACCGTCCAGGAGCAAAGATATCGGCAGCGATCTCAGACGTCCAAGATCGCATGCCATATCGTCGCAACGCCAGTTCCACCCTCCCCCAGTATATTTCTATAGTGTAGATTCAGTTCGTTCATTGACTTTTTGCTTAAACTCAGTACAAGTGAATTTTTCACCTATGGATCAGAAGGTTTGCCTAAAATGAAATATTAATCCTAGGATAATGGCATGAAATATTCCCTGCTTTGATATTTCTTTGCTGTTTGTCATTCTGCTTTTATTGTTTTTGGTCTGTTATTTGATGAACTTTCAAGAATTCCCAATCTGTATTGCCAAGGGAAGTTTGAGAATTGATCTAATGCATCCAGAGAGATATACACACCGAGGAAGGCAAAGTTAGGATCCAGTTTGAACTAAGTAATGAAATCAGATACTTATCTTGCTGGTACTATTGTTTTTAATAGGTGAAGTCCATATTGGGGGTCAAGAACATTTTTACCTGGAAACAAATAGTGTGTGTATCATTCCAAGAAAAGAAGATAATACTATGGATATATATGTGTCCACTCAGGATGCTGCAGGTGTACAGGTGAGATAACCTGAGGTTTTGCCATTGCTTCAGCAGTAACTATGAGGCAAGACAAATCACAAACCCACTCATCCAAAGACTTTTGTGTTCATTAATAATAATATTAAGATTAGTTGATTTTATGACCTCTGTTTATTTTGTGCTTACAACCAGGTATCTATGGAGATTGTCATCCATGTCATGGTTGTCCCAAAGATGCTTTTCAAAAGGCAACTGGGCTTCCTTTTTTTTTTCCTTGAAGACATTTTGCTTCTCATCCAAGAAGCTTCTTCAGTTCGGAACTGAAGAGCTTTTTGAATGAGAAGTAAAGTGTTTTCAGAGAAAGACAGCCCAGCCACTGTTTGAAAAGCATATTTAGGGTTATAACCAGTTATTTACAAAAATTAAATACAGATTTAAAACAACAAGGAAGGCAATAAAGGCCATTAAAATTACTTTTCAGTTTGAGGTGAACCACTGTTGGAACAGGATCCTATCCTTTGTGAGAGGATAGATAAGAAACCCTGCACCCCACCTCCTACATGCTTCCTCTGTTTATTTTCATCACAGTGAGCAGTAACTAGAAGGCCTTTTGCAAAATGATTAAGATGAGATTGGGAAGCTCCAATGAGCATAATTCAAAAATCACTTCCACAAGACAGGTTTTAGTGTCTGGAGTATTTTAACTGACAATAACAGTAGATCTAAAGAAATATGTACAGATAGAATCCCCATACATAGAGTTGGAGTTATATTTGTTAATAAAGCTGTAATGATGCTGTAAATAATTAAATGGGGATATGCTGCTTGACAGGTGTAGACAAACCTGTGAATGCATTTTTTTTATAGAATATGGTGGCTTCTGTATTAGATGTTCAGAGCAATAAGATCATGTGTCATACAAAACGAGTTGGAGGAGCTTTTGGCGGAAAAACAACTAAACCTCCATTTTTTGCAGCGGCAGCAGCAGTGGCTGCAAAGAAGTAAGTACTAAACTAAAGTGCAACCATCTCAAATAACTAAAACCCAGTTCATATATTTAGTGGTTTCTTGTTTATTTTCTCTGGTTTTCTAAAATTATGGACACCAATTTGCTATGAAGAAAATTATTTATTTAGGGTGTAGAGCTATAAAGGCCCAGAGATTCTACCTAAACTGATACTCAGTCACCTCATTCTTCTTATGTTATATAAGAAGACAGGTGGCTGCTTTAAAAGTTAACTGTTTTTAAAGTTGCATCATACTTAATAACAGTAGAGCAGGGCTGTCAAACCCACGTCATCATGGTGGAGTCACATGACATATCATCACTTTTTTTCTCTTCATTAAACCAGGCGTGGCCATGATGCATCCGGCCCACGGGCCGTAAGTTTGACATTCCTGCAATAGAGTATTGACTACAATGTACCTTCCATATAAATTAGATTGTTGTACTTCTCTTTCTTTCACCAGCTTTTTTGAATATTACAGTTAAGTTATCAGTGAAATGTAGTTAAATATCCTAATAATCTGATACAGAATTTGTTGAGGTGCTCCAGTTCGCACACATCATCTTCTTTGGATTTAGGTAGAAACTTGATGTCTGTTAAGCTGTTGTATATGAATATTGTGATTATATTGATACTACTTGCATATAAAAACATATATAATACTTTTGACATCTAATGGCTTGATTTCCAAATGTATCTCCCATAAACACCAGTGTGTCCATACACAACTTTGGGGCCCTTTTGTCATCTTGGGTACCTCACCTGTTTTTATGTTTATCATTTTAGTTAAAATCATTTAATGGAAAATCAGAATGCTATTAACCAAGCAGCAGCTTCAAACATAACTTTTTAAGAATATCCCTAGGGCTGCACTTGCCTGAAAGCATTTTTAAAAGATAAAAAGCCAGTGAGGTACAGTAGCTAAAATGTGACACTGGCACTGAGGATACCCAGGCTCTAACTAAGAGCTTTCCAAACTTGGCAACTTTAAGATTTGTGGACTTCAACTCCCAGAAATTCCAGGAGTTGAAGTCCACAAGTCTTAAAGTTGCCAAATTTGGGGACCCCTGCTCTAACTTGCATGAAAGGCAGGGTATAAAATTAATTGGGACCAACTATATATTGTGTTTGCTGAGGAGGGGGGAGGGATAGGGGAAGAGAGACAGAAAAATGTTGAGGGGGCAAAAAGCAATGTGAACTAGAATGAGAAGAATCTGTTTGCCTGCTGATTCTTATGGGCATAAAATATATTTTATGAAAGATATGTTAGTGATAAAATTGACACTTATCTATCATAAAATATATTTTATGCCCATAAGAAGTTGATACAAAAGTAGCCCAAATGCTTGGAAATTCCTGCACTATGACATATGCTCTTTGGTGTCCTAACATAATGTTGCATACATTTTTGTAGAACTGGTTGTCCAGTTCGTTTTATCCTGGAGCGACAAGATGACATGCTAATAGTTGGAGGACGACATCCGCTTTATGGAAAATATAAAGTAAGCTATTATAAAAGCAGCACTTTTATATACCTAAATTATTACCTCACACAGACTTACTTTGTCCTTGCCCATCAGCAAAAACACAATTTCTTTTTCTGATCTATTCTTTCCCCTTATACCGATACTGTACACAATGTCTTGGACTGTGCAGAAAAGCATGCAGAAATCAGCCATCTTCTAGACATAGGGCAGGTTTAACCCAAGGCAAAAAAAAAATATTTTAATGAGTTATTTTGGTCAGTTCTCTCATGCATGCTTTGGTAATCTCCCATTCAGAACCTTCCTTCCTTCCTTCCTTCCTTCCTTCCTTCCTTCCTTCCTTCCT